CTCCCTGAACAAACTGCAGCGCATTAAGCAAAGCACCCAGGATACTCTCTCACGACTACAGCTGGCAATAAAACTGGTACAAACATGCTTTTTCCTTTTTCCTCCTGTCTGTAGTCTTCCTGCCCTACTGTCCAGATGGAAGCTCTTCCTCCATCCTGTACCAGCTGCATGTCACCTTGGATCCCTCCCTGGGAGGGAAGCACTTGTGCTCCTCTGATTGTGTGTGCTTGCACTACAGCTGTTCCTCTCATTTTTTCCATCAGATTGAATCTGTGAAACAGGAGGTTGGCCAGAAGCTTCTGGATGGGCAGGAGAAGCTCCATCAGCTGTGGGTGGACTGGAGCCTGACCCAACCCAAAGGAAACCAAGTTAAAACTGCCTCCCAACCAGAGGTATCCCTAGAAGGGCATATTTAATCAGGCCTCTGGTGGATGGTATACCTCTCATCTGCTCTAGTAACTGAGCTATATCTCTTTCCCAGCAGGTAGAGTCACGGACTCTAGCTATGCTGCGTATCATCACCCAGCAGCTACAACCTGTTTATGAGAATCTGAAAGCCAGCATCCACGGCCTCCCCAGCAACATCCAGGAAGCTGTACATCAGGCCACTCGAAATATCCACAAGCTCCATAGATCTTTTTCCAATGCTATGTCTTTCCAGGACCTCTCCAGCTCCACCCTGAAACAGAGCCAGGACTGCGTGGCAGAAGCCCGAAGGACCATGGATGACCTGTTTGAGTATGTAACTCACAACACCCCTCTAAACTGGCTTGTGGGTCCCTTCAGGGCAATAGCTAGTGTGTCACAGGATGGCAGGAAGCAGAAGAAGAAAGATACGGTGACTGATATAAAATCATCTGTGTTGGAAGAGGCTACATCATCAAAGAAGGTGGCTAAGACACCTGAAGAACCAAAGGGAGCAAACAGGATTGCAGGGGAAGGGTGTGAAGTGCTAGAGAAGCTGGAAGAGAAGGCAGAGAAAAACACAGAGGTGGCCCTGGCTGCAAAGGAGATAAAAACTAATGCACCAGAGGAAGATCTCTGAGAAATTCCAGCTCTTCTGGCCAAGGCTCCCTGGCTAGAGCAGCATTTTATCTTATAATCATACGTCCAACTGCCAGTTGTGCCAAGAGTGCCTCCTGCTCTCCCTGTCCCAAGCTGAGTTTACAGTAAGATGTAGTTTGCAAGGAGACTTGATAACCAAAGTGGGGTGATTCCATATCTTGATTTACTTTTTTTTTTTTTTTAATCATCCTGCTGCACTGAGAGGGAAGATGGGGACCTGTACTTCAGCTTTTTAAATCAGCCCAGCTGTGTATGTGAATGGCTAATTCTTGCTGAGACAAATTGTGGGAGAGAAGTGGTCTCAACTTATTTTTAATGTTGGATTTGTTTTTAATTCATCCAAGCTGCAGAGATCTTGAGAGGATGATGCGCTTGACCTTTGATACCGTTTCCCTCCTCCTACAAGTTTAAAAATACATGTTACAGACCCAACTTCCTTTCTGCCTGTAGTGCTTCTGGCGAGCCCCCCCCTGCAGCACACCGGGAACAGCTGGGGGCAAGGGACTGCTTCTCAAAAAGAGACTTCTCTCTATGGATCGGCCAAACACTTTTTCTTTCATCGAGAAACACTTAGCAAGGTGGGATTTTTCTTTTTAAGCATGCCAATTTGCAGTGGGATTATCTTTTAGTCATATTAATGACTTCAGGGATCATCTGTGTGTGTGAGTAACTCCATGCATGAAGCCTTTGGCAGCCATTAAGAAGCTGGTGAATGAGGCAGCTTTTGCCTGGAGTTACTCTGCCATGGTAATAGGATAGCCTGTTATTAAAATAGGGGAGATAAGTGCTGGTTATTTTCCCAGCAAACAATACTTTGTAATCATTCCTAATGTAACTTATTTTGGTAATTTATGTCCTGGTATGGTCCCTGTGCTAAGGCTGGAATAACGGCAAGCAGACTTCAGAATAAAGCATGACCTGTGTTCAAATATCTGTCTCCTCTGTGTATCTTTAGCTGCAGCTCTCCTGGTGCAACTTGATGCCATTTCCTCTTGTCCTATTGATTGTAATTTGTGAGAAGATACCAATGCCCACCTCTCTACACCCTCCTTTCAGGTAGTTGTAGAGAGAGAGAGAGAAAGTCTCTCCCCTCAGCCTCCTTTTCTTCAGACTAAACAACCCCAAGTCCCTCAGCTGCTCCTCATAAGACTTATTCTCAAGACCCTTCACCAGCTTTGTTGCCCTCCTCTGGACCCTCTTCAGCACCTCAATGTCCTTCTTCTGCTGTGGTGCCCAAAATTGAACACAGTACTCAAGGTGAACACAGTACTCCAGGTGGAGGAATAAAAAAATAGGTTGCCCCGAGAAGCTGTGGCTGCCCCATCCCTGGAGGTGTTCAAGACCAGGTTGGACCGGCTTGGAGCAACCTGGGCTGGGGGGAGGTGTCCCTGCCCAGGGCAGGGGGTGGCACTGGGCGAGCTTTAAGGTCCCTCTACCACTATCTGAAAGGAGGTTGCAGAGAGGTGGGAGTTGACCTGTTCTGTCAAGTAACAGGGGATAGAACAAGAGGAAATGGCTTCAGGTCGTGCCAAGGGGAGTTTAGACTGCATATTAGGAAGAATTTCCTTACTGAAAGGGTCATCGGGCATTGGAACACGTTACCCAGGGCAGTGGTGGAGTCCCCATCCCTGGAGGTATTTAAGGGTTGTGTAGATATAGTGCTCAGGGACATGGTTTAGTGGTGGGCTTGGCAGCGTGAGGTTCATGATTGGACTAGATGATCTTACAGGTCTCTTCCAATCTAGGAGACTCTGTGATTCTCTCCCTTCCAACCTAAACCATTCTATGATTCTAAAATGAAAGCTTTTAGCAGTTCCTGTGTTCTGCCTCAGCCTTAAGCAGAAAAGTATCTCCACTATTTTGTCCCTAAGACTTCTGCCTGTACTCCTGAGGTTCAGCTCCATCTATACAGCTCCCGCTACCCTCACTCCCCACCTCCACCTAAATCCTTACGTTTCCAGCCCTGCTCCTACCAAGACTGACACTTACAGCGGTAATGACAACAGTCTCTCACTAGAGGGAAACGTCGGTTCCCAGCTCGGCTCAGGTGGAGGACACCCACCAGGTTCCTCCCTGCACCCACCAGGTTCCTCCCTGCACCCACCAGGTCCCTACACCCACCAGGTCCCTCCCTGCACCCACCAGGTCCCTATACCCACCAGGTCCCTCCCTACACCCACCAGGTCCCTACACCCACCAGGTCCCTCCCCGCACCCACCAGGTCCCTCCAGCCACCAGGTCCCTCCCCGCACCCACCAGGTCCCTACACCCACCAGGTCCCTCCCTGCACCCACCAGGTCCCTCCCTACACCCACCAGGTCCCTTCCTGCACCCAGCAGGTCCCTACA